CTTTCAATCTCTACCTCCCCCTCAAATCTAAAAGTGCTAAACTTCCTCTTGTGTTCTATCCTGGTTAACGTTATCCAGACTAAATGTTGGGAGTTACCTAGATTTCCACAATCCCTTATGTAGTTTCTTTCCATTGACTCCTTTCTCTTAATTATCTACCGTCTCATCTCTGCTACTCTTTTTGTGCAATTATCTTCTTTTGTCTTTATTATTATAAGTCTAATAAGCTGGGTGTAGCCCTCCACATTGGCTAAGGACATCTTTCAGAAACAAAATCTGTTTATATCCTTCCTTTTGGCTTCCCAAAACCAGAAGGATAAAGTACAAATTCATTTGTGCCCCTGCCTGTCCTGATTCCACCTACTTGTCCAGCCTCATCTCTCAACACTCTCTTCTCCCATCTTTTACTCTGATCACATTAAAGTACTGTCATGTCTTCAAATGGGTTGGATTGTTGCATACTGCCATGTCAGAGCCATTCCATACTGCAGTCTCTCTCTCTTTCTCTCAACATGCCCCCCACCCCCCACTCCCATTCCCATACCCAGGCTCACTCAACCCAATCAATTCTTAGTTTAAGGGTCATCTCCTCTATAGCTTGCCCTGAGTCACTGAGACTGACTTGATTACCCTCTCATTTGTGCTACTGTACATGGTGCTCATGATTGTTGAATTAATTCTACAAAGTTCTGCCTCTGAAAATGAGAGAGTGATGACTAAGGTAGCATTTGAGTTGTATCTTAGTTATAATTCATATAGTGATATTACCTGCTCCAGAGGACAATCCTATCATAGCACTCAAGAGTGAATTAACAGCCTCTTCTCTGCCCTACTTTGGTACAACTGATTATACTGCATTACAATTGCTTGTTTTCTTGTCCTCCCACCCCTCTCCCATTCATCTGAGAAGTCTTTGAAGATGGGGTTCCAGTTCTATTAATCCTTTTCTTTCCAACATCTAGCAGAGTGCCTCACACATTATAGGCAGTCAATACACATATTTGGAGACTGAATGTTGCTATTGAATTAATTACCTGAGCTTCAGAATAGAACAATTGTTTTAGTTCTGCCTTTACTCTTTGAATCTCCTAGATGTCTGAACTTCTATGCTGTAAACATCATACTTAATCTGACATTAGTGCCACAAATTCTGGTTCATGCATTGAGCAAGGGATGAGGTTAAGCTATGAACTAGAATTGGGACATTATTTCAAATTTGCATGCCTTTTCTCTGGCTTGCCAGAGACAGATTACCATCTAATCCCTCATTGAAGTACTAGCAGTCAGTCATCAACTAAGGTCAGTCATATATATATATATAATCAAATTGAACTGAGTGCTCTTGGGGTATATGATGTGATCACAACGGTTAACATTTATTGACTGTTTACTTTCATCCAGGCTGAGTGATAAGTGCTTTATACGCATCATCCCATTTAATTTTCATCCTGTAGGTGGGAGCTATCACGGCCCTCATTTTATAAATGAGTTAAATGAGGCTTTAGCATTTAGGTAGCTCACTCAAAGTCACAAATAACTGATATGTGGTAATACTGGGGTTCCAACCAAGACTTGCTTGACCTCCTCTATGTGAAACATACACACACATTTACACACCAAAAAGCGCTACATTCCATTTTGGGTGGTCTTAGTTATGGCAAATCCCGAAATTATTGTTTCTTGCCTTTTGTCTTCTTGGTGATCTGGAAAATGTAGGTTATTACAAACTAGGAGTAGATTGTAACAGCCTCAGGATTTATCCTAAATAGTTATGGATAGGGAGCTGATCCCCAGTGGCTAAAGCTCTGTTGAAATGCTATTATCAACTAGCTTGAGTGTTTGCTATGTGGAAGCACTATGCTAGGTAATTCACATTTTTGATTACCCTGTCTTTGAGTATATTAACTGTTAGGAATACAAATCATAAAAGCATGACATTTGATTATTCATGGCATGTTCCAAATATCACCATGTATAACAGGGACACACTCTGGAGTCTCCTTCTTTTCTCCTGGATGAGAAGATGGGTGAGTTAGCTTTATACACTCCCAAAGAGCTGATCTTCAGTAACAGATGAAAAGCAAACCGTTAGCAGGTCACAAGCTAATATTAGATCAGCTTAAAGTGACTTCTACTCTTGGACCAGTTTAGAGGTTGAAGACTCTCCCATTCATAGACCTTGTGAAGATGTGACAGGGGTTCTTACCAAGGGACACACTGCTTTCTCTCCTGCTAGCATTGTATGAACTTTAGAAAAGCTGTCTCTCCCTATATATAGTTTGGAGATTCACAATGTCTGTGTTAGATAATTGTACTATTCCAAGGAGATTTAAAATTCCATAAAAAATGTGTTTAAATGTCCCTGAGTCTCATGTTTGCATAAGTTTTAAGTCAAACCTTGACCCCATTTGTCTTTTAAATACTTAAATTTGATATCTGATACATCTTGTTTATATTTAAATATTTATTTAAAAAGGATTTTTAATATATCAAAGAATAGCACCCTAAGTTATTAAAGAAAAGGTGATAAAAACCACAAGAAAGACAAACTTGTAGAGGTTTTATCTTTCAAAGAGTATTTTGCAAATGATACAATTTATCTCTTCTCCGCTGATGGTTTTATGAGTTCATAGTGAAAGACAATGAAATGTAGGAGTTAAAAGCTTGGGTTCTGAAGCCTGACTGTCAGGATTCCAGTTTTTGCTTTGTTACTTATTAACTTGTTAACCATATGACTTTGGACACACTTTAAATCTCTCTTTATCTTAGTTTCCTCATTGGTAAGAGAGGAATTATAGAATTTATCTTTTTTGGATTGTATGAGAACTAAATGAAGAAATTTATATGAGGAGACTAGAATAGGATCTGGTCCACAATAAACTAACAATAAGTGCTATTTGTAGCATTACCTTATATCTCTAGAAAGTGCAAATGCACATTCTACAGCTAAAACCCAATTTGTTCATCCATTTATTTGTTATCCTTTAAATTACTTAATCAATGTTTTGCTAAGTCACTTCCCCTCTAAAGATTTATTGATTGCCTATTAAATAGCAGACACTGTATTGGTGATATGGGAGATAAAAAAGTTAATCAGATATGATTTTGCTTTCTCAACAAACAATTTGGTAAAGAGATGAAAAATATATAAGGATAATTATTGTACACAACAGAAATGTTTAGTGCAGTATGATCTTCAGATGAGGTCATACAAGAGTTCTGCATATATGGGTCTTGCTTTAAACTTCCAGGTCTATGTTCATAATTACAGACAATATTTGCATACTGTGTCTTTAACAACAAATAAACTACACTAGTATTTTGTAGCACCTCTACATACAGGAAGCCAATGGCAAAGAGAGATCATTGAAGTCCATTCTGAAGAGACCACATTTAGAAGCTCTTGCAGCAGTGATTTATTTCAAGACGATTGTGTTAATGCTGCCAGAGTAACACAAACATTTAAATAAGTGACATTTGTTCCTAATTTGTTGCATTCATTAATGCTTCAGTTTGAACATCAGGATATGACTTCAGAAATTTAAATAGCAAAAATTTAATGAGTTATTAAGTCTTAAATTTTTCTTTACTTGCCTTTTTAATTCAGCTATTCTGTCAGGTCCTTGAATATTTAAGCCATTTAAAATATTAATAGCATACCAAGGAAGTATCAATATTTACATTAAATTGGAATTCACATTGTTCTATAATATTTTCAATGGTTTGTATTATTCATAATTACACTAAATAAATCATCCTTCTGGAAGAAACTCAAGCCAAGTATATTATTCTATGCCTATTGCACGACAACAAATGTTTTTCTTTCAGAGTGTAGATACTAAGATATATTAAGAAGTATTAAGCTGGAATAATAAATGAGGTGATGTGTTAAAAGCATATATAGAATAAATCATTTTCAAATGATTATTTTTTATTAACAGCAAACTGATATATTTTAAGATCAGAGTTTCCTAAATTGTAGTAATTTAAAGTTCATAAATCATAAAACTTACTGTAGTATATTTTTAAATAGTAGGAATATTATATATCCCATCCCCACTCCTGCAGAATGGAAATGATCACGTCTGTGATTAACTACATAATATTTGCATTTTTCAGAGACAGCTTACGATCACAGAATGATTACATATATATATATATATATATATATATATATATAATATATATATGTATGTATATGTTAGGTTACTATCAAAATATTAAATATAAGAGATAAGGACATCAGATAACTTGGTGGAATTGAAAAGACAGTATATTCACCATAGTCTTCTTTGAATATTTTGAGAAACACTCCATTTCAAAGTCAGGAATATTTAATTGGGTTAGAAATTAAATATTTGTTGCTTATTCAGCCTCTAAAAAGCACTAAAATGAATTGCAGGAGAAAACATACAATAGGTTGCTCTCTCCTCAACTCACCCTTGTGTGTGTTTGCTCTTCTTTTTTCATTTCTCGTCCTTAGGAACTAAGGTATGTTAGAAATATAGTATTTATTTTAGTAAAACCTTAAGTTGTATTTTAAAATAGTTTTGAGTAAAGTAGTTCTCTATATGAATAAAATATTTTGTATATGACCATTTACATACTATTTTTCTAAAGAAAACCAACAAAGAGTAAATTCAACCCAAATTAATCTATGTTTCAAGATAATATATTTTAAAGAACAAAACAGAAAACAAACAAAACCTCACCAAACCGTCTTTAGTGAGAAGACATTTTTCAGTGGTTCCTATCATTTATGTATATTTTTTCCCTATTCTCAGCTCTAAGACATTTTTCTAAGCATATGTAGACTTCTGTAGGGATTATAAAATTCTCAAACACACATATTATTTTGGGGCCATTTCCTCTGTGTAAGAAATGTGTCACATCAGGCTGAATCCTAAAATGAACATACTCCATTCTTATGTTTTATCTCTACTGATGAATAGGAGCCAAGAGGCCCATGGGAGCATTTTTGGCAACACTGTGTTACTTACGGTTGAGAGGCAGGCTCGCATTGGTTGTGCCTAGCTTGTTGGCAGCCACACAAGTATAGTTGCCGAAGTGCTCCTGTGTCACATTGGTAACAGTGAGAATAGATCTTGTGCTAAAATTTTGAATGATAATTCCTTGTTGGCCATTGAAGAGCCTAGAAGACAAAATAAACTCTAGGTAAATATGTATTGTGGTTATCATTTTCATTTTTATCTTAGATGGGGTTGCAATGCAACCCATAGACACTTATGACCACACTTGTATTAGTGTATAGCAAGATAATGGTGCAATTATATTTTCCTTACATTAGTAGAGGAAAGGAGAGGTTGTATGGCAGCTATAGACCATTACTATGGGATTATTTCCACTACATAACAAATTGAGCTTAGATATGTACATGCCCTATTCACACATTGTTTTATATTTCAGAAAATTAAACACACCACAACAATGGCATCTCATCTGTTAAAGTCAAGAGAGAGTAAAGGAAATTAATATAAAGACTCCATTAAAAGCACAAACTGATGGTTTCTAGATAGCCTGGCTAGGATATGTCTAAGCCATTTCAGATGATATTAGATAACCCCCATGAAAGTGAACCCTCCAATTGTGATAAGATGGTTCTGAGTGAGTCCAGAGTCAACACCACTTTATGGCTGCCAAGGACAACGCAGACAGGTGATTTGCTGCTAGATGACTAATGTACAAAAAGCCAGCAGGACAGTGTTAAGGATAGCATTGAAAATTGAGTCTCACCTCTGTCACATTTTAGGAACGTGCCTGGGAAAGTCTTTTAACTTTTCTGGGTCTTGGCATGGGATTAAATTTTGTGGGATTCCTACTTGACTACCCAACAGTCTCTCTCTGGACGTACCAGCAGAGGCCCTTCCTCTCACATAGGCTGGTGTAGCTTTGCTGTTCCCGGGGCCTCATCTGCTTCCCTCTTTTCCCGAATCTGCGCCAGTGGTCATCATCTCCTTGTATCTCTGCCATCCTGATCCATCCCTTCTCATCTGGTGCTGACCTAAGTCCTATCTCTTTTCTCTAATGCTCATTAAATGACTCTCTTTCTGTCTGCATGTTCTCCCCAAATTCTTGTGGGATATATAAAAAACCAAAACCACAGTCTTCAGTTGTTCTCTCTAGCAGTTCCCATGCACACAAGTCTTTTCAACCCAAATAAATGGATTGTTTTAAATTCCTCAAAAGACAGAGCCATATGGACATACCTTATTTTATATTTGCATCCTACATAGCACTTAACGGTGGTATCCTAAGTACATAATAAATAGTTTATAGGTCAATAGAGTTCGGGTGACATCCCCACAAGACATGGATTGGTAAGCCCTTTTCAGTGGCCCCTTCAAGAAATTCTCTCTCTCATTATGAAATCTGCTATCATGGGGATGCCAACCAGATAATAACTTTTCCTTAACTGTCCCCTATGTTTGTAGTGAATAAGATGTGCCGATCACAATATGAGCCATGTAGGCTCACAACCCAAATGGCATATTAGTTTTATCTCTTTAATGTGTTGAAGTTTTAGTACTAAATAAATATTTAATTACAAAGATGCTAATAAATGACATTCCCCAGAGCGTTTAGGTTGCAATCCTTTGCTTTACGTTATAGGACTTGAATCCGAATGTAGATAAGATACACTGTTGTTAAGTGTGGATTAAAAGAAGCAGCCGTGCTTGATTACTCTGCGAGTGACTTAAATTTCATGTAATAGCTGAATTTGGCTTATCTAAAACTCAAAGTTTAATCAGGCTAGTACAACTTTGAACTGAATAAATATGGAAACACTGTAACTTGAGCAAGAAACCTAATGATCTCCAATTCTGACACAAGAAAATAGGGCATAAAATGTCAAGGCTATGGCAGCTTTTACTCTTCTGCCTCACATTGCAGACCTATCAAAATCTATGCTAAATTCCCACAGTGATTATTGCATATTTTTCTGCATCAGAGTGAAAACTTTATTTTAACTAATTAATAGATGTTGTGTATTAAGAAATCACAGTTTCATTGTGCTGAGAGCGTGAGCATTGTGGCTGACATCAGTTTGCCCATATCTATGCTTCGGACACATTCTCCACGAGACTCTGCAACTCCCTAGACTATTAAAGCCCCGTTGTGCCCCATCTACCCAGCCAAGGTCTGTTTTGGTGCTAGAGAACTGAGAAAACAACTAGTCACGTTCTTCATCTGGCCAGACTCTGGGGATAAAAAATCTCAAGAGAGTATAGTTAGTTACTTCATGGAGCTGTTTGCTTATGTTCCTTATGGCTGTCCTCTAAGCCAGCTTCCAATTCCCTGTCCTTTATAATGTATCTGAAGGCAAAGCCACAGATGTTGCTAAATCGTGCGTCTTCTCCAAGCTCTGTATGTGTAGGCCCGTTTTTGGCTTCTGCGCAGCAGTACTACGCGCATCCTCACCAGAGTGGCACATTGGTGCTCCAACCCCCGCTGCTCCGATCAGCCTGGAGGGTGATTATGGCCAATAAAGAAGAAAAGTGTCTTCCCTGCGGGTATTTTGTTATAGGGGAAACTACCTCTCTGAGTTTGCAGGAGAATCCAAAGCTTCCTTTCTTATACAGTTGGGGGTTTCAGAAGTGCTGACTTCTCAAACACCATTTCAGAACCTCTTTGCCTGGTTACATGGCTGGAACGGCCTTTGCAAAGCTGACCTTGAGGGAGAGTGACTTCTGAGATGGAGTATATCTCTTAACGGTGTGCTTCTGTGATTTTCCTACAGGTATCCTGGTGGGATGTGGAACTTTCTCAGCTATACCAATTCTGAAAATAGTCATTAATTGCTACAAAGGTGCGTTCTGTGCTACGTGATTAGGGACACAGCTGGGCAACACATGACTTTTGAATATTTTTGAAGGCTCTTGAGGGGTCAAAGCTGAAGATAGGAATCAGACATATAAACAAGTGTTTACAACAGACGGTATTTTAGTCATAATGTGGACCCTGTTAATCAACACATCTACTCTTAGTTACTAGATATAAAAATTAGAACCACACCTAGAAGTCCTATCAGTATGGCCCTAATATAATTTTACTCCTTGATTAAAAACAAACAGTAAGAGAGCTGGTTAATCGGTGGCTCTTTTTTATGAAACAGATTTATTCCAGTACGGTTGGATATACATTCCTTTTGGTCAATAAAAAACATATACGTATTTGACAAAGTGAATTATCATTCTGTGTTAAAGAAAATCCTTGGTCAGTTTCAGGCATGTGCGTATAAGTCTGTTCAGAAATGATCCTGACTCTGTGGTTTTTTCATAACCGTTCCAGGCTTGTTTGAAACCAGGCTTCCTTGCATCCGTGAAGTGAAATCTAAAAGTCACAACTTAAGCAATAGTTTACAATATAATACACCGTTCAATAAAACCAGAGAACTAAATTCAAATTTTGCTTTATTTGGAATTATTTGTCTCTTTTCCCTAAACAATTAACTCTTTCAAGTTCTAAGGGAATCATTCTTGTATTGACTGAGATTATAGAATGAGAGGAGTTTTCCTATAGTCCTTATCCCCAAAGAGAGAGAAACTAATTTTGTTGAGCTAGGGGCTGAAGTATGGCATCCCTTTCCTCAGCACTAGATTGGCAGCATATGGTGCTTTCTTAGAAACGTGTGGCCATTTTTATTTATTTTTTTGGTATTTTTACCATTCAGCGAACCTTGTGGCTAGGAGTCTTCTATTACAGTGGTCCTCTCCCTTCTGCCACCTATAGGGGTTTGTTCCATGTCACTATGATCCTCCAAAGTTCATATGTTAAAATCCTAATCCCTAAAAGTGACAGTATGGGTAGGAGGGGTCTTTGGGAGGTACTTAAAAGTCATGAAGGTGGAGCTCTCATGAATGGGATAAGTGCCTTATAAAAGAGACTCCACGGAGATCCCCAGTCCCTTCTGCAATGTAATGATACAACGAGAAGTCCATGATCCAGAAGAGGACTCTCACCAGATCATGGCACCTTGATCTCAGACTTCCAGACTCCAGAACTGTGAGACAAACATCTGCCATTTCCAAGTGACTTAGTTTGTGGTAGGTAATTTGTCATAGCAGCCTGAACACTGAGGGCCTTTGCCCTTGCTCTTCTTCCTTCGGTCTTTTGCTAATGCCTCATCTCTGTGAACTGCAGGCTATTTGCTTTGCCAGCAGATGCTGCCAACTCATGAGTAACACAGCCTGACCAACTAACTAGTTATGAATTAGAGTAGACTTATATTTTCAAGTTGGAAGTAGCCCATGGAAAGCATGTGCCAGTAATACTTGTATTTCTGACTTCATGAAATGTTCACAAACTTTACAAGCATAACCCCTCTCAGGCAGTAGCTATCTAGGATGGCCAGGAGAGCCCCCAGCAATATCACAATAGCAAAACTGACCACATAGCCATGGGCACTGAATGTGAAGACTGCAAAAATAAATGGAGCAGTTACACTAAACCTCATTCATCTTATATTTATAAATCCAGCCTCACTATGCATTTTTGGACTTTTGTTTATTATCTGTCATTCCAGGTCAGTGGTACCAATAAATATTTCTAGGGAAACAAACTTTTAGATGCAAATAGTCACAGAAAGACTTAATTGCTATTTTACGAAACATATGAGAACATTGGACAACATTTACAATATTAAAATAACTTGGAATAGGAGAGGGAGAGGTGTTCTCAAATGATGATAGACCTTTTTTATCAGAGTAGAATAATAAGGGAATACGATAATAATAAGTCATGTTATATAATTGGATAAGACTAATATAGTGTTATTACTTGATCTTTGGGTATTAGCAAAGCAGAGATGAAAGACATTAGGAGAAGGAAGGTAGCCCTTGAATCATAGGAGTCATTTTTACACAAAGAAAAGAAATGCAACTTCCACCAATGGATTGTAGGCTTGTGGATTTTCAAGTTGAGCTAAAGCTATAACTCAAAAAAAGAGATTTAGAAAAAGTCATGGGTGATG